GACAACGCTTTGACCCCTGTCAAGTGACAGGAAGCTGTGCTGCGCATTCTGTAGGGGGCGGAGGACTGATCATCGTGTGTTACTGCATTATGTAACCTGAGTATCCTGAACGCCGTAAGAGACGCGAATATGGCCTTAAAATATCCTCTTCTATGTGTTTACGTTTTTACCCATAAACAAACGTGATGCAGACATGTACGTAAATAGCAAGCCTGGTTAATTCATATGTTCCCCTTCCGTAGCCATCAACTCATCCCCGCTCCCATCAAAAAAGGTAATACGGTCATGGGAGTCTTCAACAGAAGAAACTGGCATCTTTGAGGTGCTGGATTGCCTGAGTTGTCCAGCTGTCGCCAACCAAAGCATACTGAAGGCTTGGAGCATTATGATTTGGCTTGCATTGCTTGTGCACCTTCGATTTAGAGGCCATTTTTCTATGCTTCTTGCATGGCGCACTGTTGGGCTGCATTGCCGGAAGAGCCAGATCGGCACAGGCGACTTTTCATACAGACCACAAAATCATTGCCGACAATCGAATACACCTAATGTTTTCGACTCCTCAGCTGCCGGCGTGCCGCCTGCGCTGGGGCGTGCGTTACTTGCCTATGCTGGGCCTGTACTCTCCAACCCTCCTGGCCAACGCTGTGATTTGATCGATGAGGCCCCGAAGAGAAGTGCCGCCAGGGCGCGCACTTCCCTTGGTGAAAATGATCGCGTTTGTCAAGGGACTGAAGCGATACTTCTTGATGACTTCCTCCAGATCAGTCCTCATGCGAAGTAATTTTCTCTTGTGGTTGTCAATCCAAAGACTCGTTTCCATACTGGCTTGCAGGAGCGTCACCTACATCAGCGACTTCCTCGGTTTATTTTTCAGTTATAAAGTATTTCAGTTGTTCAGAAATTTCATGTTATCAATTGATATTCACATAGCTCTGGACTGCAGCCCAACGAATTTTTATGCTGTGCGTTGGTCTGCTGGATTTCGCATTGATTCATGTTTCGGGTCCAGTTGATGCTTTCCTCATATGCTCAAAATTGCGCATAAAATGACACGAAAGTTGAAGTCTTGGTGCCCGAGGCTGCTCGAAAACACAGGTGCAACATCTGAGGATCGTTGCCCATTGCGCTGCGTTTTCACATATTCGGGGACGGAAACAATTGGAAAACTAACGTCTGTAGCGCGTATCGAAAACTACTATTGAATTGCAGATCGTCTTGAAGAGTGAGGCACAGGGGCATGCACTACAACGCAAGTGCGTGTTTTCAAGGACACGCCGATGGGTTGGAGCAATTTCACAAAAGGTCCAAAATAAATTTGTGACATCTTGCTTCTATTTTAGGGACGCACGAGACAATTTACAATTGCAAGAGCGGCGATTTCCACATTCCGTGTTCTGTTCAAATCAAAGCAAATGCAAGTTTTCTTCTTTATGCGGAAGCTATTCACACCCATTATGGGTGACCCATATAAAGTTAATCGTCTAAGGATGCATTCGGTACATACCGTTTTGCCCATGATGTCCAACTTGGCTCCAACGTGCAAGTCCCAGCACTCCAGCGGGGCGCCGTTCTTGGCCGTGACACTCTTTACTCCGGAAAACTTCAGCACCTCACCGTTGTTCCGCATTTCCAGGGAAAACGTGCGTTCCTCGCAGTCGAAGTTGACAAGGACGTAGCGCTTGGCGAGGCCCCCGTCGGCGTACTGCCCGCTTCCGCACTCGCAGCTTTCAGCGTCCTCCGACCACCAGGATTTGAACCTCAAGAACCTGATGTTGTCTGGATCAGGGAGCTTCACTGTCGCCTCCACGTTGCTGCGCCCAATCGCTGCTGCTCGTGGATCCCTCTTTGTGAAGGCCTGCGAGAGACATGGAGAAGCCTGCCCTCAATGCAATTTTCTTGGCGGTTGCGGGCATCTATGGGAACCTGAGTATAGCATCGGGCTGGACTACCGAGTCACCGCCAAGGCATGTCGCTATTATGTCATCGTCACTGCAATGCCGGAGTTGCTCTAGGTTATGAAGTAAAGTTTTGAGTCACGCCAGTGCGGGTGACTGTCGGTGCCGCGGTGTACAGCTGCGAAGTGGCATGTCCAATTCTCGGTAATAATTTCTCACCAATTCCACATGCTCTGGAAGGACCTTGGATATTTCAGGGCATGAATCGGTTCTCTCGCCTGTCGCGAAATTATAGAAAAATATGGTACCATTTCGATCAAATTTCATCCAGGTCTGGAGCTCAGTATCTGTGGCCGGGCCCCTGCGCCGTGATTTTATCAATCGACGCAGGAAGTTTTCGTCATGGGGATGCTTCCCGCTCACTTCAAATGTCCTGCCGGAGGGCAATACAAACTTCAAAGTCACATTCGGTGCAGTGTGGCTGATTCACATGGCTATAATGTGCACTCGGCACATGCGCTTGCATGGTGGTGAGCGTGATGGTGTGATTCGAAATTGTCGGGATACACCTGACCGCACTTGAGTAACCTCATTTAATTATTTTCGTTGACATGGCGAACGCAAATCCAACGATAGAACGCCGCCATGAGGCATCTGTATATACAAATATATAAATATATAAATATGTAAATATATTGTGCGATGTGAACGCTTATTTCCCATCAGACGGTACATTCATGTCAGACGCTATTTGTCAGATGTTACCGTCATCCAGCGGAGCCTTACTTTGTATTCAAAAAGTATGGCTGCCCCTGCGGGTCATGGTACTCCTTCCACGGGGATGGGACTGGACAAACCACAGCTTCTCTGACAATAGGCAACAGGTGGTATTCGATAGACCCCGGCTCCGTATTGACTCCAAAGTAGTCCGCCATGGACAGCACATCCTCTGGTGTGCAGCCCGTCATGGTTGAAGGGTATAACGAGCTTATTTCCCTTGTTGCCCTCAATTCTAAGTGCTCCAATTCCTGTCGTTTGTGCAGTGGTGGTTTCCGTGCACGTGACACAGAGTCTGAGGCACCCAGTCCATGCCGGAGCCAGGCCTTCGGGAATCCCCTCAGAGACAATTGGCGTCAGGGCAGCAACCCGTTCCATGATGCGGCGGTGTGGCAAGGGTGGGGGGAAGCCCATGGAGTATTGCTCCAAGTTTACAACAGAACTGTCCTGAATGCTTGAAGGCAAGATGACCCAGGGCGCTTTTGTCATATTTGCATGCAGATTTGCGCTCCATTCACGGATCAGAGTGCTGAGGGAACCAGTTCCGGGCCCCTTGGCTGGAGCCATCGGCAGAATTTAACAATGGGTACGTGTCTCGAGAGAAATTTTGCCATTTCTATTCCAGAATAGAACACCTACTTCGAAATAGGCAGACAAGCCCGGTTCCATCCCCAGCATAACAGAAGGGAAGGGAGCTTTGTACACACAGCAAGATTGTGGATGTGAGGCCCCCAAGCTGTTCGTAGCCGAGAGATTTTTATTTCATTTTTGGAGGAAAACTGTGTCCCATTTCTTGTGCTTCAATTGTGGCAATAGCGCAAGAATAGAGGACAGGTGCCTGCGCAGTTGTGCCCTGTGTTTCGTAGTGCCTGTCAGAAGAATCAATCAGGTATGAGGGTGTGGCCAGTGCCATCTCGTCGCCGACGAAAACGCTGCCGAGATATAGCTTCTGCATCAGCAGGTGGCAAGGACCAATTTGTAAACTGATGAGTTGCTGACTGTCCAGCCACAGCACGACAAGCTGGGTGTGGCGTGCAGGCATAAAGGTTTCAAGTGAGATATGGTATTCCTTGAGAATCGTTGGTAACCCCTCGCTCGAATGTCCTATCTTCACGAGGATCTTGCAACAGCAGTGCACCTGGTGTTCGGGTCTCTGTCAACAATGTGCTGGTGCACCTCCGACGCCTAGTCACGCTTGTGAGCCCTTGAAACCCAGTTGCCGGGCGGCAGATAAGGGAGATTTCCACCCCAGGCCCTGTGCCCCACGGCGACATGGGTTGGACGTCAACAAAAAGTATTGTTGCTATGCTGAGGCCCACCATCCTGTCGTCGTTCCATTCTTTTGTCGATGCAGAGCACAAGGGAAGGCCGTTTGGACAACTTACTGGTTGCTGTTCTGCTGCGTGGCCTCAGCAGGAACTGCAGTGGTTATAGGCATGGTCATTGTACATTCTGTGAATATCACCCTGGGGTCATGTCCCGCCCAGCATCCCACTTCAATCGTTGCTGCACTGTTTCAGCGACTTTCTACCTCCTTTTAACCGGTTCCTTTCCCGGTCACCACCTGCAATGGCGCAGCAAGGGTACTGCTACGTGAATGGTAGCAGCCACACCGGTGTGGCTACAGGTGGGAGCACAGCTGCAGCCCAAGGCTTGCACTGCTGTCCCACGACCAAGTGCAGCCATTAATTGTGTGATCAAGGCGTTGAAAACCAGCATGCCTGTAACCGCGCAGGGCACGGCTATAGTAACGTCAGTGCGCTGCTGAAAATGGAACGGCTCTGCTCCCCATTCAGCACGATTGCCACAACACAACGCCCTGATGTGCACACCGTTTCTCCTGCTGTGCAGTACGTTCCCGAGAGCACAGTAAACTAGGCCCAAGCAAGGCATGACAGGGCGGGTCAATTGAAGATTCAATTACAGAGGATCCCACTAGCCGTTGAATACCAGCAACGTTAGGATACATGGACTGATTCGCAAATTTGACGGAATTCGAAATGACCTCCAACACAGCGCATGGAACGCCATGCTCAGCACAACGACGAGCGCAGCTAGAAAAAGAATGAACGGGACCACCTTGTGTACAACAGCACTGTTCAACGACAGGCCATCATCCCGTGACTTCCACTGTACATGTTGAAACAACTTTCATGGACTAAGCGAGGCACCAGCCATTCGGAGCCGAAAACTGGCACCACATGAGCGAAGAAGACACTGGTACACTCCCCTGCTTCGCTTGGCGCTACCCAACTCGTGCAGTGTTATTGGCTGTGGTTTTCCGCAAACCAGGGCACCCAAGTGGGCAAGCGATGCTGGCCACAGGTATCACTGTTGCGCCTTCTTGGCCTTCTCAGACTTCTCCCAGTAGTCCATCCCCAGACGCCAGAGGACGGAGAACAGGATGCCTTGAAGGCCGTTGGTGAGAATTTTCGTCTTCAGTCCTCTAAACATCAGGCCGTATATGCCTTCTTTTGCCAGGATCCCCTGAGCAACGTGCCAAAACGATAAGTGTGGGACCAGTGCTGACATGCGCAGCAGATGTGATTATACCCCAACTGCCAAACATCATATCTGTGGCTTGAGTTGCGGCTGTTCTTGTATCACTTCTTGCATCCGCGGATACTCTCGCTAGCGTGTCCCAGGCACAAGACCCTGTACTGTGTCAATGCCATATAACATGGCCGTAGTGCGAAGGTGACAGGCTTCCACTGTGAAACACGGAGTGGGCAACCAGTGGCTGGCCAGTGACCAAGCTATTACTTGAGAAACGAGTCATTCCTGAACTGCTACGTTCTAGCCAGTGGCTACAGACACTTCTGCGTGCAGCTTGGCTTTGCCTACAACATGTGGGAGCACCTATGGTCGACTCTGGTGCTCTACAGTCTACTTGACAGGGAGGAAAGCAATGTGAAGTTGAGTGCCCAGCCAGACGATGTCCAGCTGCTGAGGCCATTGTCAGGGCTGAGCTTGAATGTACTACAACAGGGCGCATGCAGCTCGGGCAGAAGGTTCTCTGCCACAGCGTGGATGGGGATAGACACAACTGCAATACGACTGGCAGTCTGCCATGCCAGTTTGGTGTCTTCTTGCTAGTTGATGGTTAGTTGAGCATCCTGGCAACACAGAAACTGGTCATGTGCTGAGAGTGGGGGCTAACCTCATCTTCCATCGACATAAAACATGTAAATGAATATCATCTGCACAAAAATACCTTTGGGAAGATTGCCAAATGAAGCTGTCAATTACCCTGTTTGGCGGACCCCACATGTGATACAGCATTCTTGGAACGCACCCTGACAACTTGTGGGTAGGTCATTGGTTCAGTGGCTGTCTGGCGCGATGTCTTGATCACACGAATCGAGTTGGAGCAGCTGTCAGACACAAAGGATGCGCAAAACCCAATGAAGGCACTTCGCAATAGCCTCTTGTGGAGCTCATCGTATTGCGGTATGTAGTAGTTCAGGTAGTTGTACTGCACCCACACAGCAGTGAGAAACAATTCAACCCAAAACCCCTTGGGTGCACTTAATTCAGGAAAGCAGCACAATGAACTGCAGAATGCTGTTGAAAGAGATACACCTTCACAACTGCTAAATCACGGCTCTTGGTGTGTTGCACATAAGACTCCTTGCTTTGTTGCACAAACAAACAACTGTGCATTTTACACTCAATCCTGGAAGTCATAGAGGGCCTGGATGGACAACAACATGAGGGCCGATGCTGCCCCAAAACACAATGCGATGGCAGTTTTCGTTGCCGATTCATCTATTGCTGAAAAACAGCACATCCTCACTGCATGTGAGGCTGGATTCCAAGCACCTCCTTTGTAGTATAGGCGCATTTGGTCTTCCGATGCTGCCAAGCAAATATGGAGGGCAATACAACTGACACTGAAACACTCACCGTGGCAAACCAGGGGTAGTGGCCGACCATGGTGGCAGCTGAGGCTGCCAGGGCACCATGGTACAACACTGTTGGTCCACCCTTAGTCACTTTGCTGCCAAGCACCTTCAGGCCTTTGGCACCCTCCACCTGAGCAAGCCCAGGGATGTCAGACACAAACAGCCGCATGGGGATCGCAGTCGCCTCACTAAAACCACTGAATCTCCAGATGCTATTTAATGGTGCATTGTTTGGCGTTCAATTTTGTAAACCTGGCTTCTGGGTTCCATTTGCTCCAGGGCTTCAGCACAGGAAGGCAATCTCTAAAGTTGGACTGCACAAAACAGCATGTGACACAGCAGGACACCGGCGGGAACACCGGCATGCAGAGTTTGCCCAGTCGAGCCACCTTTCCAAAATCATGCCCTCCCCCCCCCCTCCCCCTCCCCCTTCCCCACCCACCTTTTTTCCCACTGGGAAACTGTACATCATCTTTTCACAGCCTGGGAAAGAGTCTTGCATACACTTGCCTAGGAAGGGGTGCCCTCTGTACGACCCATTTCTCTTCCCTTCGCACCAAATCTGCCCCCCCGCCCCTGCCCGGCTTTCCTCTCGCCCCGCCACACCTGCAGCATCGTCTTGCAGGCGTCCACGGGCATCAGGAAGATCCTCCACAGCCCCGCGGTGACGGACGCGGCTCCAGTCTTCGCCCACACCGGCAGGTCCCTCGTGGACGCGCTGCTGTCCATCAGCGCCAGCACGCCCGTGTTCGCTGCCGTGTCTCCGAACCTGCTCAGGGGGCCCTGGATCAGGGCCGGCCCCACCCCCCGGTAGAACCGCCGGATGCCCCCCTCCTTGTACAGCGTCCGCAGGGCCTCCGTGGTGCTGGTACCGTTCCTGTACTGGTAGTTCACTGTCGTGCGCAGCCACATCAGCGACCCCACCTGGATGAACATGGCCACCATGCCGGGCACGCCGCCCCCCAGGGCCTTCTTGCCCGCGTTGCTCAGAATTTGGCTAAGGGGCTGGCCTTCTGTGGGGGAGTAGGCGATCGGCGGGAAAAGGTCCTGCCTCAATCCAATGTCGTTTCCACCCGGGAGCCTGGCAGGGTGGAGCAGCCCAGGGCGAGGGGCCCTATCTGGGATGCGAGTGATCGGCCTGGAAGCAGGATGGCAGCGGGAGGCCAGTGGGGCGCCCAGGCAGAGCGCGCTGCTCAGGGAGGCGCTGGGGGGCGGTGTTATGCCGCCATTGCGCGCCGCAGCCTCGAATCCTGGGGCCAATCCCCGCCAGGCGCCGCCCACCATGGCTGCGGGGCCCAAAGAGGGCTGCAGGCCGGCGTCTCGCAAAAAAGGCTCCATGGTGGGCCTGATCGCGCAAGGGGACCGGCTGATTGGCAGCGCCCTTTCCCCTTGCGGCCGGCCCCTTTGGTAGATCGTGCCCGATCCCGGGCAAGTCGGCTGCAACAGGATGCTACCGACGATTGGATGTCACCCGGCGGGCGGAGAGGCAGCGGTTGGCGGCAGGGCAAGCGGCCGGGGGCGCGCACTGTTGGGAGCGCGTTGGGCTTCCCTGCGCGAAGCGGTACTATGACCGAGCGCACCCCAACGGTTTGGCCACCGATCTCGTTGTGTGACCCTCAGTCGCGCGAGAGGCGTACGGAACGCGGGGTAAGCGCGGTTTTTTGGGGCCCATCGTCACGGTCGGGCGCCTAACGTCACACCGCATGCAGCAAGCGGCTGTGAATTGTTGCTGCCACCGCGGAAAGTACTGCGATTTTGGAAGTCGCTCCAAAAGGCTTGTGGGGGTGTACAGCGGTGGGGGAGCGCACATGGTACCGACACACCCCAGACTCGCCAGATGTGGAGAGTTTATAAGCCTACTGGCGGCCTGGCCAAGCCCCAGCGCACCAATGACTGCTGAGTTTAGGTACCTGTCAAAGGAACGCAGTCGGACTCATTCCCACTGAGGAAATACCTCTCCACGTCAGGTGGATATTTGTTGACGTCAACGAAGTGATGCGCACGCACAGTTCTCTCTTCATTCATTAAATCAAGTGGCACTGAGAGAGGGGAGGTGGGTTGGAGTGAAAACCAGAGTGCCAGTCTCCGCATTTAGTCCCTAACCCTTTTTAGTCTCTATAACGCAATCGGTACAGATCCATCCCAACTTGGTGACAGTTCACTAGTGGACCACCCACAGGAAGGGTCGGGTACGCACCGTGCACCGAAGGGTCAAAAACTTGTCGCTGTGGGGTCTTGGGGCCCAAAACAATTACGAGAAGTTCGCAGACATTCCCGCCGTTGCCAGCGTGACACAGCTGGTGGGAAGCCGAACAATTGTGTATGATCAAGGCTGCTCACGGCCGTTGGCCATATCCCTGATTCTCACGACGTTCACTAACGCCTATTCTCGGCGCGTGTACCTCCAAATAATAACGTTCCCTCGTCCAGGCCTTGGTTGGTAGCGCCCTATTTGCGGTGCTTTCAGACATGTGTTGATTGACCTAACTAGCTTTCTGATGCATACTGACCGACATTTGGAGTCACCGTGAAAGCCACGTGTTGTCCTCGGAACCCCAAGTTCACACCCCTTGCAGAAAACGCCGCTCCATTAATGAATCAAAAGCCCACGAGAAATGATCCTCTTCGCTGCCTTGGGGCACGACGTGATGGTGCCGCCCCCTTCCTTCCCTGCGCTAACCGTGACAATCTATACGCTATTCTAAGAGGCTCTGCCTGAGGCAAGCTCCACGCTCGCTGTGGCTAGGCAAATGAGCGCGACGAGGGACGGAACGGGATTGACATGCTGGGACGTTGCTCTCTTGTTCCCCATTCCTACACTCGAACATGCCATGTACAACTCAACCATGCCTGCGCTTGTTTTTTAACGTTTTGAAGGGGTTCGGCTCAAAGTTGCGGAAAGCTTCGAATGCGCACTCGCCTTGTTAGAGATGCAGACTTGAGCAGCCTCAACTGGCCACTTGCATCTCTTGTGAGCTGGACGCTGGACTCCGTGTTGATTCAGGCGCACAGACGTCATTCCGACAAGTTTGAATGTAGCAGTTGACAATTCAAGCGCACATAAATAGTTCTGATAAGTTTGAATTTGGCAGTTGACGGTGGGGTTATGCAATTTAATGTACAGTTTTGCAATGTTTCCAATTAGTATGGTTTTGTACAAGGGCTTGCTTGTCTTTGTGGTACTTCCAACTTGGTTTTGATTGTTAACATACACACGAACAAGATGATCATAGAGCAGGGAGTGAGTACCGAAATGGCAGCACATGGCTTTTGTTCCAGAAGCGAGTTTATGTTAATTTGATAATTTGCAGTAGTACCTCGCTGCACAATTGCAATTTCTCACCTCGAGTGCAGCCCTCCAATACGCACACAGTACAGAACGCCGTCGTGATGGCGCCCTCAACATCCAGTGGCAACTGGCTCCCTAGAAACATTGTCTTCAGTCTCAGGGCGGTTATAACAACAGCTGCTTCTCGCGCAGTGACCCAGATCACAAGTGACCTCTGAATTTGAATTTCTGCAGCACTTACACTTTTCTTTTGGTTTTTAATCTCTCTTTTCCTCAATCGTCAGCCCGTTTGAGCAATCGATGCAATAATCTGTGTCTCTCAACCTGCCACACGCACCACCAACAAACAGCATGTCGTTATGCACCATAATTGCATTTCGTTTTGTGCGCCTGCCACGCTGGCGTCCTCAGGCCGTCCCGCGCAGCAGGTACCTTCCCACGATGAAATACAATCGAAGCATGTATCAGAGGCAAACATGCCCGACTGGGCACGGCAAAAGCGCGCAGTCCTCCACTGTGCCAGCGATGCCACCAGAACTCACAGGCTCTGCACAGGGCTGGAACCGTGCGGTCACCAGATTGTAGGCAAGCGCCAGGACGTCGCCAAGACTCAGGGAGCCATGAGTTGGCAAGACAGCACGGGCGACAGTCCCGTGTTGCTTCCCGGACGAAACGAAAACCGACGCGCAGAAAACGTCCCTCGGAGCCTGGAGGTACGCTGGCGGGTGTGTGCCCTGGCCTGCGTCTTTGGTGGGCCTGCAGCAAGGTTTCACCCTTGGAGGAAATGTGGCCTGTCGGCAGCGGCGGTGCGGGGCTGCGATTTCGTTTCACTTTTGATTGAATGCTTGCCAGGACTTGCTGCAAGCCGTAGAGCAGGAGTCTTCCCGCCCGAAGAGTGGCAAAGATGTTGAGGAGATCCTCCCTACCCCTGGGTAGGTTCGGGACGCATCTTTGGCGGGCGCGAGTGCATTGTGTGGACTGCACAAGCAAACGCCGCGGTTTCAAGGCGCCTGGGCCAGAGCACTTCGACTGATTTGCAAGTCAATAGCGCTAATTTGCAAGCCCCTTGCCTAAACCTGAGCGACAACTGACGCAAGACACCCACAATCGCAGTGCTTGGTCCCTTCCAGTCAATTGTTCTCCATTCGACTGATAGCAATGCCAAAACATCACGTTCGCGACCCACAACGCTGCCTTGGCATGCCCTTTTCACCCTTGCACGCTTGGGTGTTCGCCAAGAAGACGAAAGGCGGCTCCGTAGCTGTGCACACATGATTCCCATTGGCTTGTGCCGAGTGGCAACAAATCAAGTGACCTTGTTGAGTGCAAAGTGAACAGGTTGTGAACGCCTGCAGGAACAAATGCTGGCATGCACACCCTCACTTTGGTTGGACTGCAGAATAGGACACCGGCGGCAACATCAATGAACGAATCAATCAGGATTTTATGAAATGGCACTTCAACAACACATGTCATACCGTCTGTAGTTCTCGGGCTCAAAATATATTGTGCTTCTCAATGCTTGTCTCAGGTTTGCAGAAAGAAAAGACCCACCACTAGGAATGAATGGTCATAAGGCGAACCACAAGCCAGCAGAAAATCGTCTTGTGTACTGGAAGAAAATAACAGCATGGTGGTACCCATGGCATCATGTAGTCCATTCCCAACCACACAATGGTTTGAACCCTCCAGTTGTGGGCGCCCAGTCTCATTATATACAGTTGGAAAATGTAATGAAAGTACTTCTGCTTGCAATGCTTTGCATAAACTGCAACTTGCTGCTGCAGCTTCGTCATCAAGACCACCGATGAAGCACTGCGCAAGGTGTTCATCAACGTCTGTGGCTGTGAGGCAGTCCCAGCACCAGGGAACTGGGTGGGAGGCAAAGCACCAGAGGCAGTTGTGAAGGCACTGGAAAACGTGGACACTGGCGTGGACGCATCTGTGGAGGAAACTCTGAGATTTCCCCTGAGTTGCAGTGGCCCCCGGGAAGATGTGGACAAGAAAGGGGAGCCCTGTGCTGTATTCGACTGCGTCTTCAACTCGGATGTTGTAAAACAAGCGAAGTGCTTTCGCAGTTTGAAACGCTTCCTGATCGATCTATGCCTGGAGTGGATTGGGCAAAAAGTGAGTGTGCTGAGGCTACTTTGTTGTTCACGGTTTGGGCATCCGCACATCCTTGACATGAACCTTTCATGCTTGTTTCTGAGGGCCCAAAATGATGGGCCAACTGTCCAGATGACAGTACGCTATGGTTCCAATCTGCGATGCACAGGTGTGGACCATGGGAATAGCATCTTTCACCAGAACCTGTTTGAGTTTAGCACAGAATTGGCTCAGCCTACAAAACTTGGGCATAGGGCATCTCCTTTAAGCCTTACAATGTGTTGCAGCACATAACAGCACAATTGCTGACAAGGCTCACCTGGTTTTGTTGTTGTGTGGTGGCCGGGTTTTGTGCCTTGTTGCTGTGGCATCTGGCCCTGGGGCATGCTGAATGTAACCCATCAATCACAGAATGCCTCAACTTGTGATGCCTTATACGCGGCATTGCTTTTAATATTCCAGGCCTAGCACGCTGGCATGTAACTGCAGTTGTGCAACGTTGTCTTAGCATTCATTTTCTTCCTCAAAACACTGGAAAACACCACATGCGGTCCAGTGCCCAGCAGAGTGCATGCCTGCAACCGTTGCGCATACACCTTCTTGAGTGTACAACAAGGATTCATTGTCCTAATGCCTGCTTTTCAAGGGTTTTGAGCGACACAAGTACTTTCAAAGTGTACATCACATTCTGCAGTATGCTGCCCATGCCTATGGCATGCTGCCTCATGCAGATCATCACCTTCTGGGGGACTTTATTGCTACGAAGTTTATGAACTGTCACACCCTCAAATCTGTTATGTTGTGTTGCACAGCACAAACTGCACCTGGACAGCAAATACAAACTACCAAGGATGCGATACAAGGGAGGGACAGTGGTTAGCCAAAGAATCCGAGTTGACCAGAAGCCCCTTGTGGAAGAAGTTGGTGAGGTTTGTGGTGCACCGTTGCATTGTTTCCCTGTCCTCAGTGACGTCATCCCCTAAGCTTGCGATCTCTAGTCAATCGTAGTTAACAGCGACTTTGGGTGCTTTTGTGGGTCATGCCCAGATGCTCACAGCTTTTCACTTGCCAGGTGGATGAGTCTCCCAGCTTTCCGCTGGTGGCCAAGAAACGATCCTCAACAAGTGAGCACCCTGAAACAAAATCAGAGGACATTTCCAGGTGCAAGTTCTCCTTTGGTGACAACGCCCCAAATCGAGTCCCCCAGGCTGCAAGGTTGCAGGCTGAGGCAAAGGCTGTGCAGTGCAAGACGGACAATGGGTCTTTACCGGCCCTTGCATGGAGAGTGCACTTTGAGGGACATCCTGTCAGGTGGATTGTGGTGACTGTGGACGTTCCTGGAGATTTATCACTGGAAGGCAGGTGACAATGGCAAGCTCAGTTTCAGTGCAGGAACCTCATCCTGGTGGTGATGCAATCTACCGTTTGCTTGTTTAATTTATCTCTGACTGCCGAGGTGCTAATACAGCAGATGACAGCCAATGTGGGTAGAAATTGTTGTCCAGACCCGCAAGTGGAAAGAAATTGCTTGTGGCCACACCCAGCAGAGCCTTGCCACTGGCTGCTGCTGCTGCAGCGCAGCACGTTGCCATCCCAAGTATGTACTGCATTCTTGCAATTCGTGCAGCCTGTTGATGTGTCCTTGTTCTGCTGCACACGAGAGCCTCCTGCATCATCATCGCAACGTGGGGAAGAACTGCAAGATTTTAGGCAAGGGGGGCTTACCAGTGGAGTGACGCCTTGCCCTTTAGGGATAAGTGCCATGTTGGTTGGGAACGCTGGCATGGCTGAAGCGACTCAGATACTGAATCTCGCGGAGTGATGGCTGTGCTGCGCCCAGGTTGCCAAGCAAATGTGGAAGTGTCTACGTTCAACGTGTTTGTAGACATTGCTGGGTACGCCCCGCTGACCGTGGACATTCCGCTCGCTGTGTCCTGTGAAGATTGCACTGCCCAAATGCTGGAAGACACTCGCACTCTCACTGTCAGGCTGTCGCATCGGAGTTTCAGCGATGTCCTGGAGGAGGTGAGCCCGCACAGTACAACAGTTCCTGTCCACTGGTTGTCCGTGGGACACTCCATGGCAAGTGCGCAGATCGATACTATAATCAACTGGCCAAACTGAAATTTGGGTGAGGATCTGTTAGTTTGCATTTGCAAAAATTCAAACAGTGCAGCTACCAATGTTATGAAGAGGACGCGGGTGAACTTATGAATAACGTGCCACTTATTGCGTTTGCTTTCGTGGCGTAGTTAACCCGCTGGCAGGGCAACATCTTGTGTGTCAATTGGATCGTTCGATTTTTTGTAAGGAGAAGGGCGGGCCTCTTCGCCATGGTCGACTCTGGGCAAAGGGCAGTACAAAAGGTTCACGATCATGAGCCGGCGCAAGACTTGCACAGCAGGCCACACGCTGTTGCGCAGCGCCACATCTTACTCCTCGTTGTCGAAATTGGCACACTATCGTTGGCACACCGCAGTCAAGAGGATTGCTATGCAGTCCCTGAATCTGTGCCAGTGTCTGTCTGACGCAGATGAGAGCTGTCAGGCCCCATTCTTTTGGGTCTCTGGACCTGGTGAGCGATACGTATCTGGAGTTGGAGGCGTAGGCCGAGCCTCGGCCGCCGAGGTGGGACAAGTGCGCAGATTCTGCAGCCCGTAAGGCCGTTGGTTGAACTTTCGCTTCTGCTCCCTGAAGCGTGTGCACTACCATACACACCAGGGGTGTCCGTTTTTTCTTTGGTTCGGGTGGACACCGTAGGCCACATTTCAGGCAATGACAACATCTGTGGGGTTTCTATTAGCACGGGAAGCGTAAACAAAAGCTCCTGTACTTAACACAACATGCAATCTGATTGACAGATACAAGACATGCACGGGCTGTGTCTCCTCCTTGGCGGCAGTTGTGCCTGCACAACCAACTTCAGGATGCAGTGCCAGAGAAATCAGCAGACGACGGCACCCCTGGTGGGCGGCGTCCCCCTCCCCCTCCTCGGCTTCTGACGAAGTGGTTCATTTCGCTGGGTAGAATGCCATTGTGATTACAACAGACGTGCCACACGTCCACCTCAGAATCCTGTCGATCAGCAGCTATCCAACGTCACAACACCCGGTTAAATATCACCTCCCTAGGTGCCGCATTGCGCATTCTCCAGACACCAACATGCCAGCCCTCACAGCACACCAGCCACACGCACTGTCCAACACCCTACCAAGACTATTCGCCTACCGGCTATGGCAGCGCCAAATCGTGGGTCGTATCTCTGCGGCTTTATTTCCAGCGCAAGAGCGGCAACTGCAGCGACCCAAAGTTCCCAGTCATGATTGGAACTGCCCCACACCTCGCAAGCCCTGCTAACAATGCCGTGGATCAAACAACCATCCAGTTGCCAGGATAATACATTCCGCAATAGTTGCCCAGCCGAAGAATGACTCTACACCACCTCGTGTGACCCTCCCAGCAAGAGCATGCCTGTGCATTGGGAACGTCCGTGCTGTACACCACTTTGTACACCATCCAGCTGGAAGCTAACAAGCTGAGGGGCCTAAGTGGCCCTTAGATTCTTGTTGGCATCGGTCGCCTTGGCTCTGGCTGTACCATGCTCCCTGATGGGATAGGCTCCACTGGGGATTCCGATTGCGGTGATCTTCCTGTCACGGGCACATTGGCCGCATGGTTCATTCTGAACTCCCTCTCCAAATGCATCCTGGTCAACATTCTCATGATGGCGCCCTTGACCTCTGTGGCGTTGCACGATGACAGGATGATGCGCTGGAGCCGCTTCGAGGAGGATTTGTTTGATCTGTTCGGATGGGCAATGGGCGCAGGTCCCTGGCGCATGACAGAAGCAAACACATATTACTCCATCACATACAACTGGCAAACATCCAGTTGCTACAAGCCCACAGTACTTTGATGGGGGATTGTCCCGGCGTGCAATTGACACCATGCTTCCAAAGTCCAGGTGCTATGAAGTTACCATGTCAAATGGGTTCCAGAAGTATGACTAGGATATGCCATCTAGAACAACAGCCAATGTGCTGCCGTAAGGAGAGCTGGAACTGAAACCCAATAGCCAGTTCTCCCATCCATAAGAGCAGTTGCAACAGAGGCCAAGATGGCCATTGCACAGTTGCAGCAGAGTGACAAGTGACATGCTAGTCGGCACAGCCCGGTTCTCAATTCAACGATCAGTTCTAAACAGCAGACACTTAGGACAGGAGGTGCCACTGCCATTGCACAGATGGTGAGCATTATGGAACAGCTCTTGAGACACACGCCAAGGCACATACCTGCTTGTCCGGTGCTGTGAAATTGAGCTCGAGTGTGTGGTTGTCAGGCTCAGTTATCGTCAGTTTCCTTAATAAAGAATACCTCTCTGCATTTCTATCCCTGGCATGATCAGAAAGTTCAAGAATGAGCACCACTACTGATGCAACAATGCCCACAACAACTGCTACAAATTCTGTTCCCTTGTGGCACACTACTCCCCACAACATGCCAACAACCGGCATTCATCCTTGGTTGTTGAGTGGGGTACAAAACAAGGTGATCCGACACATCCCTACTCCCCTGAAGTGACATCGGTGCACATGCACATCAGCAGTGGCGGTGGAACAACATCTGCACACAGCCACAACGCCCAGTGGATCACGATCTGTGCAACAGATCCAACTAACCATCCAGAAACTCTCAAGCCCCCATTGGGCAAGAGTGTATGCCCAAGCACTGAGTTTCACCCCAAAACCCCACTCCCAAGGAACGAAAGACACAAAGAAGGAACTCATGAACTCGGTTTTTGGGCAGTTGACATCCATTTTATTTTCCTTACGCTGGTACCTTGGGTTGCAAGTTGCCGACGGTCCAAAGCACCCCAGCTTCGATGGGTCCACCACTGCAAGGCACAAGTGGCCGTGTGCAGGATCGAAGCAGCACTGACCGTCCGACGACTTTGTCTTCATCTGGGTCGCACTCTTTATCTCCAGGTATTCAGCAACACAGGACAAAGGGAAATGCAGCTTCTCCTGGCCGGAAGACAGCAATCGCAGCAAGGGTTCAAGACCTCCAGCTTCCTGCAGCATGCATACCGTACTTCACAACTTCCAAACTCTACACAGCATGCAAACAGTCCATACATCAAACACTTGCAATCAACCCTGCAGGCAACGCAACAATGATCCTACACAATGGAGTCAAGATTTTGTGCACTGTAGAGGGGGGGTAAACTTCACTACGCTTGTATGTTGGCCACCTGTGCAGTCTGGCAAATCTGCCAATACAATCTTCTGTACAGTACCGTAGGGCCCATTGCAACATGGAACAGACGACACTGAAGAACAAGCACTCAGGTGCCAGATACCTTCCCTGCACCACCACCATGGCATGTATCTAAGAGAACACCTGCCCCCAAGGCAAGGGCTTATCAAGTAGCAGTGCAGCATGCTATTTTTCAGGATTCTTGCAGCAGTCAGCAACGTACCACAATCTCCTGCCTGTTGGCAGGATTCTGCAGGGACAAGTTCCTCAGCACAACTGCCGCCAGCTCTGCCGATATCTGTTCTGGGTCATCCCGAAGCAGCTTCACGAGTGGAGGAATTGCCCCAGCTTCTCGAAGTGCATCCTTTATGGGCTGGGAGCCTGCCGCAAGATTTCCCAGAGCTGCAGCAGCGTATTCGGTAATCTGTCGCACAGCCAGCTTGCAGGTTATACACTTGTTACTGACAACTGTCAAGAGCATACCACATCCACAAAGGTGACAGGAAACTGAATGTGAGATGATGGGAGCTACACCCAACATCAATCTCACATTTCGATGCCTCTTGAGTCGCTCCATCAATCGGTTGGCCAAGGATTTCAGCCCGTAACCCCATAATGCCAAACCCACAATTTTTAATCCGTGCCCATAGCGTACATTTGGCAATTCAAGTTGTTCCTTCCTATTCAGCTACCACAGCCTTGTAAATCCATAGCGCCAGCACAACCCAGCACATAGCATCCAAGCTTTGCAATCCAACCTGTGGCCAGCTGGGACACCACTCTGAGGCGCCCTGTGCGCATTGCCCAGAGTAAGGGAAACATGGTTGTTTGAACACATCCGGGGGGACCTTTGCTTGCATGACACACCATCTGGCGTACCTGGGCTCACATTTTGTGGTGGTCTGCATTGCTGCAAGGTAGAATAGGGCACATTCCCAGACTGACAAGGTACCACTGTCACATTCAATTGTCCTGTAACGTGGCATTGTGACCTGTGGCCCTCACCTCCGATTCTGGGCCAGAGTCCAGGAGCCGCACTAGCGGTCGAACGCCTCCAGTCTTCATGATCGTCAACCTGTCCACCTCCTTGTCTGTCAAGATCCTGAGAGCCAACAACGCCCTGTGTGTGCATTCCGCCTCTGCACCATAGTCCAGGAGGTGCACGAACTTGCCGATTCCGCCGTAGTGCCGCAGTAGCTCCTGGAGGCAAAGCAGCAGAGCACGTATGAAGGGACGCACATGAACATGCTCCAGGCAGCATGAAAGCAGCTGGCTTGCTGCAGGTGCAGATTCCTCCGCCTGCTTTCGTCCAAGCGCCCTTGATGTCTGATGTCTGCGAATCCCATCCTCTGCCACCCCTCCATTCTCACCCAGCCACCCCCCACCAGTGCCTGCAACGACTCCCCAGCATAACCTACCACAACACCTCTCCATGCAGGTTCAGCACCGCAGCCTTGCCTGTCGATCCATCCCCGACCATGGCCTCGTTCCGTGAGCCCCTACCCACCACAAAACCGCCCCATTCCACTAAACTTCCCTTCCCCTTCCCCCAGCTGGCTCCCCAGTCGAATCAACGCCCCAGACTCCCTCCACAAGCCGCGGAAAAATATCGCTCGCCCGGCCGCTCAGGGCCACGGGCAGCCTGCCGCCACCTACCCTGTTCACGGGGTCGTCCGCCACCAGGCAGGACAGCGTCTCCGCCACGACCACGGTGAGGGCCGATTCGGGGCCGCTGTCCAGCAGAGCCACAAGCTGCTGGATGCCACCGGCCTCCCGAATCATCGGCTTGTTGGGCGGGTGGCCTGCCAGGGAGCGCAGGGCCAGGGACGCCTGGTACTCCTTCTCCTCGTCGCCGCTCCGCAGCCAGTCGATGGCCCGGTAGACGTGCGGCGCCTCGGCGGCCATGTCTGGCCGTCACCACAGCGGGCAGACTCAGCGGGTCACAGCCCTGGCTAAGGTTCGAACGCCTAGCCAGGAAACCTCAGGGCAAAGGGGGGGGAGGTACGCGTACGGGAGCGGGACACAGCTCGGGCAGTGGCGGTATTTAGGCAATGCTCGGCGACAAACGGTGCAAAAAAGGGACCTCAAGGTATTTGAGCGCCCGCCCGCGCTGCCGAGCGGCTCCCGCAGCAAGGCCGCCCTGCCCCCCCACCTTCCGTCCTGTTCATGTGCATCTGGAATGCGTCCGCGGCGGCCATTTCGCGCCTGGCGCCACACCACGCGGCAACTCCCAGGGGCTCGCCCCCCCTCCCCCCCTTCTCGCTTATCCCCGAGCAACGCAGGTGAGCCTATTGAACCTGTCACGGACCAGCGCAGGGTGACGCAAGCCCAGGCTGGCACAGTCCAGTCTGGGCGGCGACGGGCCCACCGGGCAACTCACCGCGAGCCGCGACCGCGCTGGTAGGGCCCGGGAAGGCGTCGTCGGGTCTTGGCGTTGGCGGGGAGGGGTCGGCAGAGACCTGGGATGACGCGATCTCGCCGGCGTGGGGCTCGTCGCCGACCTGCGACACGGTGCTCAGGACCACCAGCTGGCGGAAGCAGCAGTTCAGGGGGGCCTGCAGGGGGGGCGTGCCCGCCTGGAGCAGCATCCGCAAACCCAGGGACTGTCGGCTACTCGCTGGGGCCCCCCGTGCAGTTTGTTGCCTCCAGTTTGCCGGGCCCCAGCGCTGTCAGCACTCCGGTGTCGTAATGCGGTGCAATACTGGCGCGGGGGAGAGGCTGGGGGTCGGTGTTGGGGCTGTTTGCCAGTGGCACATGCGGCCCGGCTCCCAAGGGACGCGGCTGATGTGGTATGGCCACGTGCGCGACCTCGGAAGGATGGCTGGGCGAGTCCGCCTTGGGAAGCGTACCAGTGGGAGGGGGCAGTACGTTGCGTAGAGGGGGCGCCAACGGTGGGCGGGCCCGAAATCGCGAATGTTGGTGAGCTATTCGGGTGTGCGAGAATGGTCGTCGCCACGGCTTCAGCCCTTCGTCTGGTCTGCGACAATTTGGCAACGGCATTCTGGCAAAAGAATCGTAGCCGTATCGGGGGGGCAGAAGCTCGACCACCGCCGTTTGTCACGGAACCGTTAAGGATGACTGCTCGTCACGGACCGGCCGACCAAACATGCTGAGGTCCGGTGCATCCAATCGCATGAGATCGCCGTCCCCTCTCTAGGATAGTTGCAGAACACGCTTCGCGGTGAATGAAAATAGCTGCATCGTTTCCACTCACTTAAATAACATTGAACTGGCACACCGCCACGGTCGCCTGCATACAAAGGACCCCTCAAGATCGCCCCGTTTCTCAATGTGACCTCCCCTTGACGTCCCACACGGGAGACGCATCAAGTCAATCTTAGCTTCTCCAAAATTTGGGCACTGCGTTTATCGAGTTGAAACTGCAGCCTGAGGAAACCTTAGATCGCCACACCATTAAGACTGGGTCCACGGCTTGTCCTGGACCCAGCTGTGCACATTCGGCCCATCGTCTAGAGCTCACCCACACAGGGTCACTGAAGGCCAGCGCACGAAACCCGATTGCGAATACCCGTTCCCAGCCGGTCCACGCAGTACTCCCTACGCCAGGTGCTGCGCGCTGGAAAACAGCCACTTTTTAGACATCTCGACCCTGTTCGGCGGTAGCTTCCAGCACGGGCTGCGCGGCCGGTGTCCCAGCGCCCCGTCTCTCGGACTGTAAGCCTTGTCCGGCCTGCCGGAGGGGTCCGACACCACGTTCAGGGGCGCCACCACGGCGGGGGCGCACATGATCCTCATGCCCCGCATCTGGGCCGCGCGGCCGCACCGCGGGATGGTGCACCCCTTGCGCACTTCGCCCGTGTCGGCTTGGCGGCCCGTCCAAGGCCGGCCGCCGGCCGAGCAGGCGCTTTGAGGCCGGCGGCCGCGCCTGGCCGTTGGCGACGCCGGGATGGCGCGAAGGGCGGGGATCGCGTCGGGGCCTTTGGAGCGGTCGGAGCGCTCTTCCGCACAGCCACGGGGCTTGGAGGCGCCGCTGCTGGTCGCGCCGTCGTCGCGGTCGTCGTCGCTGGGAATTTCCTGCAGGAACGGAGGCCCCAGACCACGCGCACGGTAAAGCGAAGCAGCGATGAAGGCGCTCAACGTGGGCGAGTAGCACAACCGCCTCGAAGGCGCCGCTGGCCCCCCCAAGCGATGACGCAGCTGCACGGCACTCACCCGCTCCGAGGCGCGGTGAAATGCCGATCTGGAATCAAATGGAAGAAATGAGTGACAATGACCGGAAATAAGCACCAATCATTTCGCACTGCTTTGACGCTGATGTAAATTGGGCAGGCTCAAGAAAAGCGGGCGCCGATCTCACCGGCACCGTCTCTAGCTCTTCGTACACCGACGCCCCCTCCTGCTCCCATTCGCATTCGCTGACGTCCTGGGAAGCGGGGGTTGCAACCGAACGGAAGGAATCTACCTCGCCTGCTACCCCACCGTGGCTGATGAGGGGCGGCGCCGATCCAGGTCTGCACGTGCGTCTGGAGAAGTCGATCAGTTTTGAGTCTGGTGGGTGGCCAGAATGAACGCCGCGCCCCGTGTAGCTCGTCGGGGGATGCTTGAAATAAGCCCCTGGAGATATTCGAGGAAGTCGTGGGTCGAGAGATTCACCACGCTGTGACGATGTAAGCGGCTGCCACGGTCGCAAAAAATACCATGCAAGAAGACGACGGGGCCATTTGACGAATTATCTGCGGGGTGCAGTTATGCCCGTCATGGCCTTCAATGTCTAAGGCAGTGTTTTGCTGACTGCGGGCAAGTGTGATCAAGTAGTCGGGTTGGGCTTCCAGCGACCAACAATAAAGCAGGCGGTCAGGAGCTGCAAATTTTGTTCGCGAGACGTCGTTCAGATAAGCGGTGTTGGAAGTTGCCTGGCGATGCACGCATACAACTCATTCAATGCATCCCATCATCAGCCATATGGGGGACTGGGAAATGAGATCAGAAAATGCATTTAACCGTGACAATGATCGCAGGAATGGATTTTGCAGTGCACAAGCATCGACAGATGCAAAATTCAGTTAGGCATTTTACATTATCCACGTATCGTTTTGCTTCAAGGTTTAGAGCTCAGGCTCTTTTTACTTCAAGACAGGAACAGAACTCATTCAGCCCAACTTTTAGGCCCTTGCAACGCAGAGTGCATTGTGCGTGATTCCGACATACCCGATTTGCACTCCTGGTCAATGTCAAGAGCATTTCGGATGTTGCCAGACTGTGGACTATTGCGATTCTGAAACGACCATCTTTGCGCTCTCCGGAGAGAAGCAGCAAATTTTCCCAAAAGCATATTGTTGTCTGCGCCTTGTGTGGACAACTATTGCAAGTACTTTAACGGCCATTGCCTTTGGTCCCTTACCTGGGCCGCGCCACGCAGCTAAGGGCTCGTGCATCTTCCAGGGGTCAGACCTGAAAAGCGCCTTTTCAAAGCATGTAGATGTACCTCTTGTGCTTGATACTCGGGAATAATGGATACTCGGGGAGTATTTATGTGGCCCCAAATGTGCCCCGGCGGACGCCGGTCTCAGTTTGTCCCTGCCGATTGCCTGGTCGCAGTGTTATCAGATTCATTAGGCTTATAAAATCCACCATATTAAATCCAACAATAAACTATCAATTTGTACAAATTTGTTGCGCTATGGTGAGCGCTTAATGGAAGCATGAGCTCAATGAATGAATGCGTCCTCACAGATTAACGACTTTGCCGGTGGTCCATTGCATGGTGTGCACCTCTGGCAGCCCGCATGATCGGAGAGCGTCACATGTGAAACAAATGCCAAAACAGGACGAGAAAATCATTATATGGCGGCTCATCGCACCACAGCCCATTTGGAAGACCTCAAAATATGAGCATGCAAACACAGCAGAATAATGTACGGCAACGTCACATGATTTCATCATGGCCACATCCGCACAATTCAACTCTTCGAATATCCTGGACTCGAACTGTAGGCTGCAGTGTAGTCAACTGTCGTGTCACGAGCACAATGCCCACATGGCACTCAATGCCATGATGGCAGCGAATATGAAAAGTTTTCATTTTGAAGACTGGATTGTCTTACCGTACCAATCGCTATCAATATAACATCGAACAGGAGTTGGGGCTGTGCCGTCAGTAAATGCTGTGCACTGTACAGCAAGCGAACATATGACACGTTAAGTGCCAAGTTGTATCTGAGTACCATTGAGGGGATTTATCGAACCCAATGCCGTACACGACCGAAAAACATTGAATTTGCTGACTTACAGCATCTTTCACTGCCATTTCTATGGCAAAAGGAGCCTTTCGACACTTTTAATGCATTCCAAATTGGAATTTTCAATGCCATGAGCTCTTTCATATCCCGTTTTAATTTCGGCTTCACGCCATCCCCTACTCGCATTCAAGGAGGGATACGCACTGTTGTTCTTCTGATGCACACACCCATATC